CGAGGAGATACGAGAGAATTGGTAGGCCGTCAAACTGATTAGTTCAACTTCATCTCATCCTTATAAACACCACGCATTATAGGCGCTCATTGCCCAGCAACCACTTCTCTTTCTCAGCCTGCTTCAGCAACCCCCCCACTACTAGTATACTATTTGTGTGTGTGTGTGTGTGTTGTTGAGACTCCATGCACGTGCACAGCCAGGCGCGTCGTTATGGTGACAACAATTTAATCTAAAGCACAGAGTGACATTTTGTAGGATTACCATGTCATTAGGTGTCTCTCAGATGGAGCTGTGTATGTATCTCTATGTTGGAGGGTGACATCACAGCAAGCAGAGGGCAGTCCTTTGATGTAATCCAATTTTACATTTCCACTTCACACACACACACACACACACAACACAACGTGGGACCCTCACTGACTGCCAGTGCTTCAGATGAGTAACAACCGACATTCATGTGGTTTAAGTAGGCCAACATATTCATTCATGTGTGCACATACCCTATATATTCTTATCAGTGGACTCCCTTTGCTGCCCGAGGAGCCTTATCTTCCAACTGAAACCCTTCATTTCACGGTCAATCTTTCTGTTTCCATCGTTTGCAAATCAATTAGGTTCTACAATTTCTGATACTTTGTATTAGCAGATTATCTTCAGTTGAAGTATGTGCATTAACAATGGGTTAACTCAAAATTACTCATGTATCTGTGTGCAGAGAATTGGGAGAAAACGCAAGCCAAAGCAAATAAATGTGATATTCACTCCACGGCCCCATAAGGAAAAGAAAAAAACATAACTTCTTTCTCCATTACAGTAGATGAAATTCAACATGAAGTGAGATATTTTGCATGTCCCTCCCTGTCAATGTATCACCATCCCTGCTTTTCTAATATTCGGGTCTCAACCAGATTTCCTGAGTTTGAAGATTATATAAATTTCCAAAGACTGAATCAAGCACTATGTATGTTCTTGTACAGAGGCTTTCTACTTTTAGCCAGTAACTGCCAATGTCACCAGTGGAAATGAAAACTGTTGTTGGCAAATTCAAATACATTGGCTATTGCAGTTAGGGTTTTTCTGGGGGTTGCAATTTTTGTCATTTTATTCTGCTAATTTAAAGGTCTGACTCCAAAGAACGAGTGAGAGCTGCTGCTCAGCGACACACTCTCGTCCAGCAGCATAGCGCACACTCACTGACCAAAGAAGGAGCGAGACGAAAAACAGTATATAGAGATCGAATGTTTTCACATCTGACTTGGTGAAATAAGGGCTTATTTTGGCCAAACCAGAGTTGGTGAACAGTGGAAAGACTAACCAAGACGGTTTTTGGTGAGTTTTATTTTGTTTCTGTCCTGTGTGAAAGAAGTGTGTTTTATGATGAGTTGACAAGGCAATTAAGCTAGCTGTTCTGCGAAAGACAGAAACCTGAATTCAGAAGGTGTACGGGTTGGTTTTTTTTCAGTTTAATAAGAAAAATAGGTGTAAGAATATTTCCTTTTGTTGACATTTTTGGAGTTTATCTTGCTTATTGGAATGTAACAACCTCCCCAATAACACACATAACCCAGCTGAAACTATTTCTACTTTGCATATACATGTTCCTGAGACCGTTTTTTTGGCAGTTTTTCCTTAAATAAAATCTAGGGTCTAAAGATATAAAGTGTCGTATGTTGCAGAGAAAGTAAAGTCCTTTGAGGCAAATGAGTGACATGATTTGAAAATTGACTATAGGTAACGGTGTAGTAACTGGTTTTACTGGTTTAGTTTAACTGTGACCTTTAGGATACAGAGCAACTCATTGTGTCAGTCTGTGATGCTAATGTTTGCTAAGGCCGATACAGTGTAGAGCTGTAAGCAGCTATTGTTATTAATTACACCTGTGCCAAATTTCCTCTTGTTGCAGCCCTTTTCCAAATCATGACCACAGCCTCAGTGTGCATTTATGGACAACAAAATCCATTTAAAAGACACTGAATTTGTTTTTATTCTAGTACCCTTCTTGGACTGAACACTTCACAATAACCTAAAAAAAAAAATGTTGTTGTGTTTCAGCAGTGAGCAGTAACCATCGTCACCACCAGTCTCCTGGGAGAGGAGAAATTCCATGGCAGGATTACGTAACACTGCAGAGGGGACAGAACCCAGCTCCTGGGGAAAACTCTGCTCCATAACTCACACTACACAGTCCTCTCATATTGGTATGAAGGCCCAGACACACCACGCCAGGCTCAAAAAAGTAGCCCAGACAAAAGCAGATGTAGTGCCTTATGTCTTCTGTTAAGAGTGGAACTTGAATACAAAGCAATGGCTACAGCTGACGGCCAGCTGACTGCAGACATGCAATATGTGCTCTAGGCTCGCGTGAGAGGAAATAATGGAAATATAGTCAGTGGTTTACATTATAAAAACAAAAAACAACACAGAAGTAATAACTTAAACCTGCCAAGTGCAAATCTGATTAAATATACTGATAGCAACAATTATGACTAAAAATAGAAAGGACAAATTGCACTGCAACAACACTGTAAAAGAAGACCATTTTGATGAGATTCCTTCCTGCATGCAAGAAAACATCTTCTTACAGCGAAGGTCTGTGTTGTCCCCTTCAGTAACCAGTTCCCAAAACCATAAAACTAGAAGACAGAAATATCTGCTCGGAGCTTTGCTGGACAATAGCATTCAAAATAGAACAAGGTCCTTTCTTACCGCTCACACAACTGATGAGGCTAAAATTGTTTCAACACACTGGGCTCACTGAAACTTGAGGAAATGACACATTTCTGAATGTACCAGCAGGCTCTAAGGGCTGGGATATACTCAATGAGGAGTAGGCTGTAGGACATGTTGTCCAACCATGTCAGAAATCAAATGTATTTATGGTTGTTGCAGTAGTTGAAGGAAAATAGAAATGGGCGGGCATATCCCCACCCGCATAAGCCAACTATAAAGGTGTGGGGGGAGTGGCCATTCGACCACCCGACAGTATTCTGGCCCGTTAAAGTGTGAATTGAGTAAATCTGCATTAGATAAGCAACCTGGGGATTAACAAAACAAAAACGGACAGTGAGAGGGCTAGCATTTTACACTTCATTACCAAATGTGAAAAACCCAAAAAGGCCAAAACTGATCTTCCAAACAGCCTGATTATATGAGAAACTATTTACACATATGAAGGATGTGCAGCTGGGTGATGGACAATGACTCTGCTTGATCAGTTCTCATAGGTAAAGAAAGAACAGCCTTCTCCTGTATCATTCCCTCCCCCAGGGCAGAAGCCCAGTGAGTGAGTGAGGCATTACTGGGAAATGAAGCCCTTACTGGAAAACTGAACCCACCTATTTACTGGCAATGGACGGGGTGTGTACAGGGGGGTGGGGGGTCACAGAAATAAAAGTTAATTGGAAATCTGAACTGGTCCTTTGTGACTGGACACTTAATGTTTTGAAAACAGAATTACTAATTTATTGATATTGCTGCATTTTTATTTACATTCAGCACATTTACAAAGCCTAAGAAACACCCATCAGTTTGACAGCCAGGGTATAAGAAGTGTCGTAACACTGCAAGAGAGGAACTTAGTGGGACTTCATTTAACTGGCAATTTTACAGAAGATTTCAACACAAGCTCTACTTTTGTTATTAAGCCTCCAGCTTGTGGGCACCTTTAGCGTTAAGCACTTAAGGTGCCCTGTGGAGATTTTGACCACTAGTGGTGCTGTACAACAATATTTTTTAGGAGTGTGCTCCCATTTAGCACACACAATATGCATTCCTGCTGCCTGATAGGTGGCGGTGACAAGCCAAGAAGCTCAGCAACGCACCTGCAAAGACATGAAGGAAGATGCCTGCGAGCTAGCATGGACGTAAACAATACACAACTTAATAGCTTTCAGAAAATCTCTTAAGCAAATGTTTCATGGAGACGGAAATGCCTTCAACATGTTTGTTAGGCCTCCCACAATGTTGACACACTGAATGTAAACATAAATTTGTTGACGAGAAAACTCCACGTCTATTATTTTCTGCTTGTTTCCACTGCAGTGGTGCAAGACGAAGTACTTAACTTACCAATAAATATGCTTCAATGTATTGCTTTTCTAACACTTTAAGTCCTGCCAACTTGTTTAAGTTATATAGAGAATCAGGAAGATCTCCGACTGGGATCATCAGCTGATTACTGCACTAACTGCTCAGATAAAACAGTGTTTTATTCACAGCCTTGTAGCCAAGAAGCATATTCTCCAGCAGCAGGGCGAACTTCGGAGCTCATAAACAGAAACCAGAAGTGGTACAAAAATGGCATTCCAAGACCCCCTACTAGTGCTATTTGTTATTCTTCCTGACCATATGACTAAACCAAGAAAAAGCTGGTTTCCTGTCTTACAAGCCTTTGTAGTTTACTTTGCCCTGATCACATGGTCCAAAAGAACTTTGGGCCCTGAGTTCCAACTTGTCTTTCCCATTATCAGAGAAAAGCTAGATCTCCATAATATGTCCATGGATAGGACTTCTAACAGTCATAGAAACATGTGTGCAGTTACTAGAGGGGCCTCTCTCTGCCCTGAATGGATGGTGTGGTACAGATTAACCAGACTCTGCATGTGTCTATGCTTATATGTGTGTGTGTGCACGCTGAGTCTGTGTGTGTGTGTGTATATATAAATCCAGCTCAGCACACGTGCCTATTTGTCTCCAGGGAACTAGGTGAAGAGCCACTCAGCTCCCTTTGAACCTAAGGCCATATGGCCCCCAGTATGGTTCTATACTACATACATAATGCTATTACACTATAGGAGTGTGTCTGTGCAGAATACACATAATGTTAATTACCCTATCAACACCACAGGATCAATAGGGTAGGTTTGGATGACACGACACCCCAAATTTTGTGGTTTTATTTCCCATTAAATTGTAAAATGTGTGATGCATATGAATAAACAGCCCTTCTGTGTGTTCCAGGCGCAGTGTTTTGATTTTTATTGTTATGCTCTACTCACCTCATTGTCGTGGTGTTGGCAGAAGCTCATGCGATCCTGGAAGAGGGACAGCAGGGCAAAGTTGTTCTGCAGGGACTGCGCGAGGGAGACCGACACCCCTGGTTGGCCAGAGTTGCTGTTGGCATTCATCCGGCCCAGGTGGAGGTTCTCTCCCAGGGACTCGATAAAGTGGTCCTTGGTCAGCCGCACCCGCTGGTGTGCCCGCACACAGTTGTCACACAGATACTCCTGGCAGTCAAGGCAGTGGGAGGTGGCTGGGTTCTCCTCATCGCAGGAGCTGCACTGAGGCTCTCCTAGGTGGTGAGGGTGCAGCAGGCCTCCATGAGGGTGATGGAAGCTGGAGGAGCCTCCACCCAGGCCTCCCCGGTGATGGTGGCCGTTCTTGTTCTGGATCTGCTCCTCTGAGCCCACCACCACGTCCAGCAGGTTGCTGAAGAGGAAGTTGGAGGAAGGCAGGGAGTCCACACCGGCCTCAGAGATGGACACCTTCTGGTCGCAGGTGGGGCACCGCAGCTTCAGCTGGTCCCCGGGACTTCGCTGGCCCTCTAGGCACTGCCTGCAGAAGGCATGGAGGCAGGGCAGGACGTGGAGCCTCCTGGTAGTCTGGCTGGAGGAGGACGAGGTATGTGAGGAAGATGACGAGGTAGAAGAGCTGGAGGAAATGGGAGCAGAGGAGCCGCACAGCTCCTTGCAGAGCGGGCAAGTCTGCAGGTCCGAGTCTGGAAACGAAGCCATCTGCAGCGTTACCGAAACACAGGCTAAGTTTACAAGATGCGCAGCAATGAGGTTGAGGTATTCATTTGGGGACACATCGGCCCGTTGTGTTGTCTAGAAAATAAAGTTGTATTTGAGGTAGATTCATGAGGTATTAAAGTCAGTTCAACAGTGAAAACGGTGCTCATCGACTTACAGATTTGTCTCTGTATTATATAAGTCTGACCTGATACAAAACAAGGAGGTAGCCAGTTCTTCAAAGATTGTTTCTGAGGTAAAAAAAACAAATACAACACAATACTTATGCTGCTAAGATCATAACAAATCACTTGTGTAAGGCGTTTTTCTGGAGTGACACTGGGTCGGCGTCGAGATAGTGGGGGCTCCGTCTCTCCTCCCCCATCGACTCGGCAACATGACTACGGGGCTCTGCGCTACAACACAACACCCTGACGAGTATGCAAGAATTTATAATTTTCTTTCCCTTTGCTGCTTTCCACTTCAGGCCCGTGTCTTCGTCGTGGTGTCGCTCTCTAGTCCACCATCGGGGCCCGTTCAGACGGCGTCGGGCGCAGCAGCCATCGGTCGGTTGGTAGTCGCAGCGCGAGCCTCGGACAGCGAGACCGTAAATTATTCATCAAAGCAACGATATCACAGCGTGCCGTGGGTCATTGGAGCATCAAAAACAAACACACAGAGTCTGCGATACAGCCAACACATCAGACGGGACGTCTAGCAAGAGCCTCCGTGGGTGAATTCCCGGGTCCACCTTGCGAAGAGGCCGCGTCCAGCTCTCCTCTCCCCGCTGAGGGTGTCGGTTGGTCTCCCTCTGTGACTCTCTGCGTGGAGGAATGCGCAGCGTTTCTCCTCCGGCAGCGAGGAAAACGGTGCCCTACAACCGGGAAAAACACGGTCCAGCGACCGTATGGACCTGAACGAGGTCCTTTACTTCGCTGCTGCTGTTGCCGTTGTTTACTCTCGTGCGAACCAACGTTAACATAAACATAAGGTGTGCGCGTGTGGCTCGGGCTGCATCTCCTCGAGCCGCTCTTATCCGACTGAGAAAAAAATGGACCCACTTCCGCCCTAGGGAGGAGGGAGGAGGGAGGAGAGCGAGGGGTGTGAGCCCAACGCTCGTGCCCGATGGTGAGGGGAGTGTGGTCGCACGCACGCGCCCAACGCTCACGTGCGTCAAGGTGTGCCCCCCCAAAAAAAAAAAAACTAATCAAGTTAATTTTAACATTAGAATGGGAAAAAGAAAGGTACCCGGTAACCCAGAAGCATTCATTCTATTAGATGTACCGTTCTCACTGGATATACAGCACAGGAAACTAATTATGACTGATGTTCATACAGTATAAAGGGCTCCAGCTGGTGGATATAACACATACACTAAACTAATTAGCTCAAACGTGATACAACATTTAAAAGCATGTTTAACAACTTAGTGTGCTTTCATATTGATTAATTAAGTAGGCTAATGTGTGCTCTTGTTTTATGTAGGCTATGCATCTGATTTCCTCCACTCTAACAGAGAACATAGCTCATTTTGGGGGCCTAATACACAAAAAGGGCACCATTCAGCTGAACTAGGTTACATACAGCCTATTGTAAATATACAGCTTCATTTCTGTGATGCACTTCTCAGACAACATGCGGTACGGTGGAGTAAACAGTGGTCTGTGGACTTGTTAGAGTCCTGGGATGTAGAAGGATATTGATCTGCTGTGGTTCTTTCTTCTCTTACCTTCCTCCTTCTGAAACAGGAGCACAAACACTGTAAAACTGGGAAGACTCCAACCCCCCCCAGTTATTATTCGATAGCAGATGTATGTATGCAATGATCATTTGAGTGAAAACCTAATGAGGACTGCATCAACACATCACCCTGTGTCATCTCACAGCTTAGAAGCGACCTGGCCGCACCATAAGTACATGCCAAGAATCAAGTTGTTGTTTATTATTCCCTTTAGAGAATGGCTTTGTTAAAGTGGACCAACGGGGCAAACTAATCATCTTAACAGTAGCATGTATTACATGCACAGTGCAGCTGTTCTCTCATTTCTTTCCTCCTGTTTGATTCCTCATTGAAGGTGCTGTACATCATTACAGCCGTGTGTAAAAAAACACTATTTTTTGTTGTAGTAAATGTTTACCATATTTTGCACAATATATATATATATATATATATATATATATATATATATATATATATATATATGCTTTCACACAATACAAGATTAACAACATGTAACACATGCAGGTGACCTCCACTTTAATAATCACTTGATCATTTTAACTATGAAATGAATTTGTTTCTAGATCCAGCACTTAAAGCGGCTCAGCTCATTTGATTCGGATAATTCTTGTAATTTTAGGGTTGTATCCACATGGTTGGCTGCTGAAAGAAAGATAAAGCGATGGACTAGGTCAGTAAATAAAAACAGAGGTTACACAAGCATAGCTAGACATTAGTATTTGCAGCAGACAAGTCAGAACTGTGGTTAGGTTATTATATAAGTGAGATCATATGAGGCACTTTAACTAACTTCATTTGACACAGGTCACTAATGTTACTCCCTTCATCTTAGGGGTTAGAGGAAAGAATAACAGTGACTGGTCAAAAAGGGGGATGGCGGGTTGATTTACAGCAACCTCGCAAGGTGATCAAAGTAAGGAAGGGCAGATAAAAGGATGAATCGCTTGAAAACATGCCAGAGGTTATGTTGATACGTCAAAGTGAGAAAACATTTCTCCTGAAGGAATACTCCACAGAGCAGTATGTTTCACACAGGCCCTTCATAAAGCCACCGCAGGCAACCGATGAGCCCTTATGATGCTGGCTGCAGAATCATGGGTTGAGTGCTCTTTTAGTCTGAAGAAGAATTCACTCTTTCACATGCTGCAGCACTGCCCTGAGAAGACGAGATGACACATGCTAAGGTCTGGAGGGCAGTCAGGGTCAGTACTGAGTCAATGGGGTGGTCTTAACATGATTAAGACAGCACTGCTCGGAGCAAAAAGAAAAAAAAAACACACAAACACTTCTGTGTTAGGAGCATCTCTATCCCTTGATGACACGCACATTGGTGCCTGTGTTGGCGCCGGCCATTTTCAAGGATTTACAGTACATCATCTGATTGAATGGTAACACGTTATTTTAAGTCCCTCTATTTAGAATGACACTATAATGTAGCTGCAAACAGACATAAGGATAACTTTAAGGGTTATTAAAGTACAGTGTTTGTCAACAATTAACTTCTCCTATGAAGACATATTTTATATTAAAGGTTTGTGGCTGGTGGCGGTAATGTACCTTAAGGCTGGTTGCCAGGGTTACAGTTGAGTGACTAGACACTCAATGAAAGTTATAATGGTTAACAAACAGCAATGACTGCTTACAGCTACATTATAAACTTAGCTTATAAATGCTAAATAAAAGGGCACAAACGGGTGTAGGCATATTGATAATGTTATCATGAAATAACTCCGTAACAGACATTCATGTATCCAGACCATGTGAAGCTCTACTTGTCCCCAGGTTCCTGCAGTACCATGGCCGACTGAAATAATACATTTTTATTATCTGTGTTACTTGCAACATCTTCACTTCTCTCAGTTGTCTCATCATCTTGAGGTAAATTGGTCAACAGCGGGATTTATTCCTGGTCATCTCAGACGTGTCACTGTTGCCATAGAAATCAAACTGCAGCAGCTGGGATCTTGTTTTAAGTCAGAATGGACCTGAACGTTTTGGACGTGATTAAAATTATTTCACAATTTTTCTTTGTAAAATGAGACAGATCATGCGTCACATTACTGTTTATCTCACCACAGTCCAGTGCCTCCCCCTGGTGGTTCAGTTGCTGTGTAACACCTGTATGCACAGATGTTCACCCCTTTAACTTTGACTGATACTCCAGTAGTTGCATCTATCCTCCCCAACTGAAAACCAGGAGATCAGGTTCTCTCTTGCAGGGACGTTATAGTAGCATTACGTTACACTCTCCTCACCACCAGAGTGGCTAAACACACAACCAGTCAGCTGCTATTAAGATGAAAACTATTGGATGCTATTTGATACAAACAAAAACAATAGCAATGTGATTTTAATTACCCATTTTATTCCAGAAAACATTTGAGGATTAATTTTCCTTTTGTGAAGAAACACTACAGAGTCGAACTTTTTGGAGCAGAACGCTTTTTTTTTATATAAAAACTTCACACAAAGAAAATGTAAATCACAGCTCTTGAACTAGCAACAATTGAGGTTTTGACAATCAGTAATATAATATGGTAACATAATACTGTCAAAGACTAAACACCATTATAAATATGTACGTATATACACTCAGAAGTTATTTACATTTCTGTTATAAACTAAATCTAATAATCCTACAAAATGATGCTAGATTTTGTCCCCCAACAGACTTTTTTTTCTTTTTCAAATAGTAAATCACACACTGAGTGACAAAGACAAATCAGCTAAAAGAACTCAGGAAACAACAAGGAAGAACAAAAAAAATCCTTTAACATATTTTAAAACAAATTTGAACAAAAATAGGTTATTAGCTTTGTAAAAAAAAACCTAACAGTGTAAAGTTTTGGCGTCAGTCTTTGGTTGTGATTGTTTTTAATTTTCTGATTCTTAGTCAGAGGCTAAATTGAAATGAGTGTTACAAACGTACAGAAAGGAAATGCACACGCGTTCGTTTTCCTGATTTCATTTGTTGTTTTCCCAGAATCAAATGATGTCTCTGGAACATAGGCAGTTTCAAAGGAAAGGGAAGTTAAGTACTTCAGGGGCTGTGGTTTGGCTCAGTGCGTCCACACCTCATTGGCCCACAGATGATTGTGCCGGAGCCAGCATCGAGCAGAGGAAATGTCAAGTGTGAACACTTGCTCCTGCGATGAGTTAACTGCTTTGTAGTGAATGATTAGTTTGGGCTGAGGGATACACGCTGCGGAGAGGAGGCGGCTACCAGCGGAGAGGTACTCGCTCTCGCAGCTTTGAGTCCTGGGAGAGGAGGAAGCAGCACTGTCACGTATACAGATCACATAATCCAACTATGGCACACACACACACACACACACACACACACACACACACACACACACACACACACACACACACACACACACACACACACACACACACACACACACACACACACACACACACACACACACACACACGTTACCTTTGAAGAATGATGCTGAGGCAGCAACTGGCCGTCTCTGACAGTTGGAGGATGGCTGTTGCGTTGACAGTGATGAACATCTCAAAGGCAAGGGCCAGCTCCACCTCCCTCAGTCGACAGGGGACGGTCAGTGACATTAAACCAGGGGGAGCCGACACGCCTGGGTAATAGCCCACACTCAGAGAGTCTGATGAATATACATTACACTAAAATGAATTTAAAGTTAACAATTGTCAAAGTCATTTATTTGTTAAGTCTTTCTGCTTTTCCATAATTGCATTTATCATCCATATGAATGGAGCAAGCCAAAGATCCAGGAAGTGATACATACGTCTGAAGACTTCCCGCGCCCGCAGCCAGAGGTTCTGTTTGCCCAGTTTGTGTAAAAGTATTTGCAGCACAGTGTGGTCAACTGCCAGGTTTTTAGAGAGCATGAAGTCCACAGTGTCTGAAGCTACAGGAAGTGTCTGCCTGTCCACACACACTTGCAGGTGAGAGTTAAACAGAAGATGGTACCTGGAGATACTGACCAAGTCTGAGGAAAAGAAAACATACACACAATTACATGCAATCATACAGAGGGTCATCTTTTAGCTCTGTGTATCTACATCTACTGTACTTAGCTATGAAACTGTGCATTTCAGTCAGGACAACACTTCAAAAGTCCAGATTTTACATACATAGCACTGGGTTTTACTTTGAAATAACTAAATCTATTAACACTGATATTGGAGACAATATTGCAAACCACTGCAAAGAAAATGCAACCACTTTGTGGAAGCTAATGGATTGAATTGAAGAACAAAGAATTCTGTTTATGCTGAGAACACTGCTGAGTCATTTAAAGTCTTGTGAAATGTTTGGAAAGTGTTGTGAGCTCATAGGTTAGACCTCTGTTCCTATTCACACCTGCATTAATAAGCATCTTGGGTGATGTGATCACAAGACTGCTTTCAGTATGTCACATGGCTTGACATTAAGTTTTTTCAGCCACCGATTTAACCTGCCCGATGGAAAATGAAGGCCTACTAAAAAAAGAAATTCCCTCAACAGGGATGTGGACCATTATTATAATTTATGAACATACAAACACTGTCCTCCGGAACTCTGGCAGGTTCTGTGCACATTTTTTTGATAAAATGAAAGGGCACAGAGCTTGATTGGATTTATATATTTTATTTTAAAGAATAGACCTACCCTATTTCTAGTAGGTTGTTTCTTAATCCACCATTTGAATTCTAGTTAACTGTCCACCTTATTCAGAAACTACTCAGCTCACCTTGCTTTTCCCATTTTTAAACTCGTATATAACCACTCACACCTCCATAATTGTGTGTGTGTGTGTGTGTGTGTGTGTGTGTGTGTGTGTGTGTGTGTGTGTGTGTGTGTGTGTGTGTGAGAGATTGGACAGCTGAAGATTGACAGGAAGGACGGGAGAGAGAGGGGACGACACGCCACGGGTCAGATCTGAACCCATGGCCGCCACAGCAAGGATATTAAGTGCCCAAACAACACGACTCGCCTTTTAGACTCGCATTCCATTCCACAACGACCCCGCGTGGAGGACGGTGGTTGTTGTGACGGTGCCTAACGAAACCAACATGGTACTGCACCGTAAAGCAGTGAAAACCCCTGCTGTGCGTCTCTCTAGCTGACATAACAAACACACATTTGTTTGCCAAATAACTGCAATTCATCCAATACCATGATTTTGCAGAAAGTTTGTTGCTGTTTATAACAAAGGCGGCAGCCAATAATGAACACCTTTGAGTTAATCGGCAGGGAAAACACAGAATAACTGATTTCAGCATGGACAAATGGATGAAGATATCACATTTATTTTTCCATAATTGGCCCCGGGTCATATCCAACCCTGCGTTCACACCTGGCATTAGAATCCATCTCCGCTTTTCGATCTGATCTCACTTCCTCTTTATATGCAAACCAACACCTAACAGGGCTGTACCCTACTTAGAATTTTGTCATCCAACGAATCAATCAAAGTGGACAGCAGCAGAGAAGCCTGTACCACCATCTAACCCATTGGTCGTGTACACCTCTTCAGAAAGTTTCTCCACACTCACCAACTCACAAAATTCAGCGATTTTTCAAGGGAGTCTGGAGATATTGCAGTTACAAGTTCAATAAATATCTGCTGCTTATCTTGACAGTTAACAGCCCAAATACATCATTTGCATTACAGTGAACCAAATGGAAATCAGACAGCGTGTTTCACATGTGCGTAGAGGACGTCAGTAGGTGGTCTTAGATGCAGTCCAGGACACATTAAATACCCACTACTAAAAGAATGTGGTCCACACCACTTCTGAATGTGGTCTGAGCAATCAGATCTCAATGTGTCCTCAATGCGTCTCGGGTGCACTCACACCTGTACTGTCCACTACTCGTCCATGTGTGATCGGATCATCAGACACATGTTAATCCCAGGTGTAAACAGGGAGTCAACTGAGTCAAACAAGCTACAGGTCTGGGCCCGAACCAAATGAAGTTGTTCTGTTTCTTGGCACTGTCTGATACACTGAGCTTTAATATACAGGTATATGATGGCATATTTGATTTAAAGGGAGATAAACTGGGATTCTTAATAATTTAAGGCAATGAAAATACTTTTTTCCCCTCACCGTTTGGTTCCTTGAGTCCGGGGAGATTACGGAGGACATCCAGCGTGTCTCTGTGAGAGGTTTTCTCAGCCAGACGTATCAACACACGAGCCCTACTCTCAAGATCAGCAGGCTCACACGGCCACAAGGACGAGTTCAGGAACCATTTGTTTTCTGAATGAACAGATGCATAAACAAAAGGCAAATGGACATTTTTTAAAATACATTTTCAAGCACTATCTACAAGATGACTTACCCAAAAAGAAAGAAACAACAACAGGATACACAGAAGGCCTACTATATAGTATAAGGCTGTTATATGCTGCTGAATGGGATTCAATCAACAATCTACAGCTTTACTGCCAACAGGAGCCTTTAAAATCTGATGGAAAAACTAAAAATGACAGCAAGACATTTACACTAAATAATGCATAGAATAAAATGTTACTGGTTTGCTTGAAATGTAACTGTCATTTTAGGTTTTTGTGCATCAGACATACATGGTAGACAACCTAATATAGGTTTTTCTGATTACCTTCCTTTTTCTTGGGGAATCTGCTTTCTAATCATCTACTCAAAATGTGCTTCAACTGTATTTATCCCAGTCTAATGTGTCCAACGATAAAAATATGACACTCAGCCAATCGCGGCAACCTATTTCTTCCAGGCTCAGAGCTGTTACCTCGGAGTGTGTTTAGAGCTCCTTCCACGCTGCCACTCAGGAGGAAGAGCTCAGTGGCCACAGTGACCAAGTAGCAGCGTGACGCTCCATCCTCATTGCCAAACAAACCCTTCAGTGTTGAGTAGTTGACTTTTAAAATGGACAGCACCTCCACCACCCTCCGACCCTACATGCACACACAATACAAGGCAACATCCACTTGCTAAAATTAGTACATCTAAAATTATACATATTCAAGAAACTGATACTCTGTGATAACATGTTTGTATATCTGCCGTATCCCTGTGTTACCATCATGCCAAAAAGGTTGTACATGACATGATGATAAAAAAGAAGAACATGGAGCTGTTTTTGAAATGAAATTGTTAAAATGTAAGAGAACGGGCTATTTTCATTCAGTAACATAGATTAGATAGCTGGCTATATAAGCTCCCTTGAGCCAAGACAGTCCAGGAAACTGCAGCATGAATGTTGTGCTACAAGCACACACATCGTTTCGAGGACTGACTCAAGATGGCTAGCAGGTCACAACAGATCATAGATCAACAGATCAACAGAAGAAAGGCATGTGAAACACACAAGAGTTTATTTACCTTGGCCCATTGATGTGTTTTGTGGTATCTGAACATGAGAGAGACCCCAATTCTGCCTAAAAAACTCCTGATCAGGCTGTTGTCACCTTCATTCTGACACACTGGAAATCAGAACAATCAAATTATCAGAATTCATTACGTACAGTTACAGAATCATGTTTTGGAAACAATTTCTTTATATCTAACACAACAGCTTTTCACCTGTCTCAGCAAAGGCAGCAAATGGCAGTGAAAGCTTGTCTTTACTCTCAGACAGCAGCGCAATGGCAATGCGACCGCTGATTCGCTCCACTTGGTTGGGACGTTGACTGGATTGGCAGATGGACCTGAAAACCTCCCCCATCCGCCTCCAGTCCTCTTGCTTTGTACAGAGCTGTCAGACAGAAAACATAAAGGCAGGCCTGAATACAATGACAGACTGAACAAAAACATTTTCATCCTTGCATAAGTTGACAAAAGTAATCTACTGAGGAGAGGAACTAACCTCTATTTCCACAACGGCGTGGGCCAAATTCAGGTACTCGGGAAAGGGTGCAGTGGTGGATAACCTTTTATAATAAAGATAGAGTAATTAAGCCACTCATACAACATGTTTGATACTTGTTCGATATGTTGGGGCTGGAGAACTTACTTTTGGTTGCCGGACGCTGAAACATGTGAGTTTGGAGAGGCTGTCTGCTGGAACTCAGGAGTGTTTTTTACACAGTCAAGGCAGTCCAAACTCAGCACCAGCCCTGCACTGGCCATCTGTTAACATATATGCACATTCAATACTTCCACACATACAAATTAAAGATCCAACTGCCTTACTTTAAGTTTGGGAATCAAGATACCTTGGACGTGAGCTGCATAAGTTCAGGTACAAAACCCACGAGAGACTTTTCTCTCACAAGGTTGAAGAGGGCCAACACAAACTCATGGCCAGGCTACCAAGAGAGGAAGAGATAATTTATTGTTATGCCCATAGTGGTTATGGTACTAATTAGAAGTTATTTTCTTTCCATTCAAAGTAAAACTTGCACTGCCCCCTGCTGGACTACAACCTGACATTACTGTTAAAATATGGCTGAAAACCACACTGACCACTATCTTGTGGGCCAAGCTGACGCTGAGGACTGAGAAGACATCAGACACCATGCCGGCTTTGAGCAGAGCCCAGAGGAGCGATAGAAGCACCGGCATGGAAAAATACACACCAGGTGGGTTGCTGGTGTAGTAGCCTGTAAACACAGCTCCTAGAGACAAAAGTAGATGGGCAGCAAAACCATATAGACACCCATGAGAAGTCAGACAGGCAGAGCAGACATATGCAGCAAAAGGCACAGGAAGACTTGGCCATATTCACATGTTTAATCACCCGTCAACACTATATAAACAATGTGGGGTTAAATTATTGGATATATTGAGACCTAACCTGCTTTTTGAAGGCACATTGGGTTTTTGATGAACCGTGTCACGGTTTCAATGCAGAACTGAAAGAGAGGAGGTGATTCTGCAATGAAGTGTGGAATTACAACTATGGCACAGCAGAGGGTGATGTTGCCAAAGAAAGCTTTAGCACTGCTCCACTTTACTGTCAGCAGATTTACACATTCAGTTCTATAATCTTCATCAATCAAAAGTTCATTGCCTACTTTACTCGCTGGAGGAAAAAGCAGATCTGTACAGTGATCCAAGCTAATATACTATTAATTTCACTTGTAGCCTACCTTCTCATCCCCCTCCACAGGCACATGCTGGAACCGACATATCTTGAAACCGCAGGACAGCGACTCACTGAAGTACTGCCTGCAGTACTGAGGGTTTACAGGACAGGAGGAGGCTACATTACTCGAGGAAAATTAAAAACCTCATGTCTGCAGCAGGAGAATATACACACAAACAAATCTTAATTAAATATCATTAACAAGCATAGGGTCTTTGTAATATGTCTCCAGGCATTCATTTTCTGCCTCAAACCAAATAACAATGTTATGATGTCTGAAAAATGGATCTTGATGCAAAATCACGAGCCTACAATGAGGTTTGTTTTTAATTTGATTAAAACTAATTTCTGTAGTTTCCAAAATATGAATCCAATAAATGAATTCAATGTGCACTTAATTAGTAAAATCTTCCATTATTTATTGTTCCTCCTAAGTAACTTGTCAGTAACTACTCTAAGCTTATACCCAGTGCTACCTAATTTATTCTTAAGCAGACCTGCATTTCATCTGGTCCTCTAGTTAGGGTGCTCTTTTACATTGGCATAATTCCCCCAAAAATTCACCTGACAAAATCAGAAACAACTAAATTGACACCAGGCATATCAAGCATATTCACAGTGTTCTTTTATGTACTTTACAGTTAGATGTGGTGCTCTAACCTTATCCACAACAATGGTTTCTGTGCTCAGGGCTCAAAATTAACTTTCTTCCTCAGTGTCCTGCAACTGTCCCAAACTTCAACAGTCATTGTCCCAAATTGAATTGTTTTTCTTTTCATTTTACATAATACATAAGTATATTTAATAACTTTAATTTAGTAACGCAAATCACTTCATTGGCTCACGTTCTGCTAGGTGTTCCCTGCACTTATATATGAATAATAAACTGAAATGACCTTAGGCCACACATCGGATTATTGTAGCTATTGGTTGAGTTACTGTTTCTTGTTTCTGTTTGATCAATAAAGGCACAGCAAATGCAAGCGTGTTTCTGATGTATGCAGCGACAGTCTGAATAGGAATAAAATCACTAAGCGGGTGTGATAAGTCACTAAATCTAGCCAGAACGCTGAAAGTTGGCATCACTGGCTGTCTATGATTGCTTTTGTATTTGTAAGCGTGTGTGTGACGTAGAGCTTGTGCCGGTGCCACCTCATATTTTTTCAAATTTGAACAACTAACTAGTAAAATGATATATATATTCCATGACACATAACTGCAATAATTTAATTTGTCATGATACATTTCTCTTCCCAGAATTGTTCTAGACACTGTATCTTTGTATCCTGTGTAAGATGGACTGATTTTGGTCAGATCCTTTGGAATAACAAGAAAATACAATTTATTCTAAAGCCAATAAACGTGTTTCTAAACGAGGCCTTTTTTTGTGGGAAGACAGTGACCATTTAATGGAATACTTACAGCACTAAATTTCTGGCGCCTAAACTCTGCCAAGTTTGCTGGGTTTGTGATCCTCGGCCCTTGTGTAGTGAGCAGAGGACCAAAAGAACAGTCATACACAGGTGAAGTTAACTCCACGTAAGGAACACTGGACTAAAAACAACATTAGGAGTAAACATGCAAACAAGATACAAGGGACACCAGTTTAAAGTTTTTTAGTCTCTGTCTATGTTGTCTTCTTTTTGCCCTCACCATTTTTTATGGTCATAAGTGGAGGGATGTGATTATGGAGGGAGTTGACTGTCTGAATGGGCTGGCTCCTATTACGGGACATAAACACGGTGATTACAAAAACAATGCAATATTAACTGGGCCAAACAAATGTTTCATCTTGTGAAAAACTGCTACCTTTCCAGTCCTCCGTTTATATGATTGTTGTTGGCGTCAGGCTGACCCTGTTCAAAAACACAAAACAGATTTAACATTATAAAGTTCACTTGTTATTGCAGCAACTAAACCGGTCAGGTCAAGAACAGTCCTAGTGTAAATTAGTTGGATTGTTATAATTCTGAATGGTACCAAACATTTTTTTGTAACTTATTTTGTGAGAATTGTATTTATCTTTTTTAACATCAACCATCAGTGTGCATTACGCTCCCTTTCTCTCTCCTTCTGGACTGGGGGGGAGATGCACAGAGAGCATTTGTGCAAGAGACTGTTAATGTTTTGTTTCTTCATAACTGCAAGGAAGCTATGCTGTTGCAATGACTGATGCCTTGCAGCAGTAAAGTGCTGAAAGATGGTCCCAGAAGTGTGGTCCTTGATCCCTCTATGACACAGTTTTAGACCCACTACATTACCATGCTTTTGGTTTGTTTTTCTGTGAAGGTCCACGTGTTTCTTTGCATTTTGGAAGGGGTTCTGCTACAATGAGGTCTCCATGGTCTGTCGTTTCTCTCCTCTGTAAAATATTCCCCCCCAAAAAATATCACAAAATCACAGGAGGATCTTTGGATAAGATACACATTATAATAATAATAATAATAATAAAAAACACATATAAGAAAATTCCTTTCCGTTGCTGAACTGATGTATAGACATTTGCTCAGACTGCAAACAAAATTTAGTAGAAATGTACACAAAATATGTGTTTTTCCGTTGTAACTGTTTCCAAGTTATGAGTTCACCAGTTGTGGCTTAAAATGACTCTCACCATGGCTGCCCTTCGTTTGTGTCTAGCAAGCCACTGGATGGATAGAAAATCCCCAGTCTGAGCATTTGTAGCATCAGTTACTATAACCAGTTAGCAACTAGCATGTCACAAAATCAGAAATATATATATTATCTAATAGATTCTGTTGCAGTGGCCATACCTGTGATATCGGGACTGTTGCACTGAAAATAAATAACTGGGCTCGATCTGAAACACAAATCGGAATTTAATTTGTAAAGGACAGCACAATTCATCTGTGACCGTAGGGAGACGCTATCAAATATGAGACCATACCTTTGTGCAGACTCCTGTGAGGTTCCATCTATCCTTAGCGACAGTGTTTTCCCCACTCCAATGGGTATGGTTTTTGGGGCCTCTGTAACCCTGGTAGGACCCAATTTCAGTAAACTCTGTTGGGGCAGGTTTTCAAACAGCTCTGGGTCATCCTGGATCACGTCGACCAGCAGGATATCATGTTCATAGGCTGTGTACTCGTCCAAAATGCCCTGCTGAGCATCATCGGCTGCCTCTGCTTTAGTCTCATCCCCTTCACTGCTCAGTAATTCACATGGACTTGACCCCTCTTCTCTAGTAGAATGTGGCGATCCCTCGTCACCTTCATTACTGCTGAGAGCAGAGCAGGATTTTGTCAGAGCACCTGAGGTAAGGGTTGCCTTTATTTTAGGGTCTGTTTGGCTACCCTGCTCCACGGCATCTTCGTAATCATCCTGGCTTTCCTCTTCATTACTGTCAACATCTTCATCATTGCTGGGAGAAGACTGAGGTACCCTTAAACTACTTAGCGTTTTGAAGTTTGTTGAGTCTTCTAATTCTTTGTTACCATGTTCAAGATAATCTTTGGAGTTTTCATTATTTCCATTAACAATGTGTGTCATGTGACATCCAGGTATCATTTTGTGTTTGCTGGTGGTGACGGTCTCGTCCTCCTCTTCATCGACGCAGCCAGGACTTTGGGGCAGGAAGCTTGTCAATGAGCGCCTTTGTGGTGTAGTGACAGGAGAGAGCATTGGTGGAAGCATAAACTCACTTGAGTCCGTTTCCACACACTCATCTGTGAGCACGTTGTGCAGTGATCTCTCTTTTACAAGATCATGGTTAATGGGGCTTGTATTATAATATGGCTCCAGTTTTGGTGGGCACCTGCCTGCGAGACGTTCTTCATCACTCACTTGCTCGTCCTGAGGGAGGAGGAGGGAGGATTCCGAGCTGTGAGGAGGAGCAGAAGATGAGGGACTGCATGAAGCCATTCTGGTTTCCTCACAGTGGAACAATGCTTTTTCTACAGCTCCGACCATACACGAGGATGGAGAGCCACCAGCCAGCTCAACACTTTTGACTTTCCTCAGTAGGAACGATGAAGGCGGGAGAGAGGATGGTGTGGCTGAGAGGCTGCTCAAACCCGGAGTGAATGGAGATGACATGGAAGACAAAGTGGTGGTAGCTTCCCAGTCACTCAGGCCAAGAGCTGATGGGGAAGGGGTGGACCTGGAGCTCTCGGCTGCGTCAGTGACGGGCTCTCTTCCACGCTGGCTTGGGTTGGAAAGGGTGGCCGTATCTGAGGTTGGCGCAGCTAGTGGTTCGTCAGCGTCCATTAAGTGGCATGAAAACCCCATGTTTTTGCTGTCTGAAGAGTGTGAGGATATATTACCATGTCTTTTCCCATTTCTCTCTGCTAAAATGCTTTCTCCATCCTCTTCACGCTTCTCTTCATTATTCACGCTTCTGTTATCTCTAGTTGATGGATCAACGGCCTCCGCTGGAGAGGCTGTGGTACCAGAACGTGCTGTAAGGGCCCAGCCACTGTTAGAGAAGGGCCAGGACATGTATGTACGTGCACAAGAAAAAGCATTTTTCCTGAAATAGGTCCTCACTCTCTGGCAGGTGAATGAGTCTGGTTCATCCGTGTCCACCTCCACCTCATTCCTCTCACAGAGCAGTTCTGATGACATGTGTGCTGCATCAGTTTCTGTGACACTGTGTAGCTCTCCCCAAGATTTCTTATAGACACCATCTTTTTTCACAGCCGAGGTGTTGCCCCCAGCTGCTTCCTCTGAACAGGGCTGACTATCAGACATCCAAAAGCACGTTTTCTCTTTGTCTCTAGAGTCAGTTTCTGTTGAGTTTTTGCAACTAATGCTTTTTAAAGAATCTGGAGTGGATGGCGAAAACCCATCTTTAACACTATCCCCAAGCTCTATTATTTTGTCTGTGGGATTCCCCTCTCCCATGAGGTGAGCTCCTGGTCCAGAATCCTCCTCAACATCTCTGCTCAACATGCCAGTTCTGCACTTCCCCTTTTTTGTACTTTTACCTAGTACGAATGAAGCACAACAGGTTGCAGAGCCTTCACTTGTCCAACTCTTGAGGAAATGACACGTGGTACGACTGGATACCGTCCGTGCATCTGTGCTTTCTTTCAGATGTCTCTGGTGTTCAGTCGGACTTTGAGACTGAAGCCTGGGACAAAACTCTCCGTTTTTAGCCAAAGCACCTTGCTCGCTTTCGTGTTTGTTCTGCCCTAAAAGACCGGGCCTGAACTGAAATCCAGCTCTCATGTCCTGTTTGAAGCAATGCACAACCTTGGTCTTGAGAACATCCGGTAACACGTAGCCACAATTGTGACTGAAAGCATCACATTGTTGGGCTATGTCGCACAGCGTCACCTTCGGGTACTGGTCTATCCATACAATAATCTTCTTAGAGTTCTCTGTGACTGTGTTTTCTTCCTTGAGCTTAACCTCAACCGTAGGCTGCTCTGGCCCTGGGCTACCGTTTTTTTGCCCTTGCTTACCCGATGTCTTCCACTGAGAGGAGACGTACTTGCAGTCACCACAGAGACCACAGCCGGAGGCTCTGACAGCTCTTCTCAAAGACCCTTCTGAACCAGCAAGTGCAGTGGGGCTTCGGTGAATATTTCTATCAATGTCTGAAAGTGGAAACAAAAACTTGTCAAACAGTGCAAGAGTAAATGTAACAGTCGCCATCTTGAATGATTAAGTATTAAGTAAACGCACACTATCACCATGGTAAGGTGTTTATTTGGGGTTTAACAGTATTGATTCACACCAATGTCATTTGGGACTGTCTCAGTATCTGTTATCAGAGTTAATGATGTTACTAAGACGTGCATTTTCAAAATCAACCAGACACTCCTCATCCCCGATGTCGTTTCCCTTGTGAAACTGAAATATACTGTTTGAAAACTCTTCCAATTAAACATTAATTGAATCTTTGTGTGGCTTGTCCAAGCAGGTTTTCAAGTGCAGCGTCATGTTGGATTCATTATTATGTTACAGTGGAAAACCTCAACTGCAACTAGTGGTGAGTAAAACTCACAGTTGCAGTGGTTGTTCCGCCCCAAACCCATCAATCACAAGGAGCAGCAAGGACAAAGCAAACAATTTAAAGCTGCATGATTTTAATATTAACACAAAATAAGTGCAATGCACCTTAAATATTTGACCCTGCTATGAGCTGTTCCTAAACCAAACTAACAATTAGCTTGGAATTTACATTAGCACTCCTTCAGGTGCATTACATATATAAAAAATATATAATAATAATACAATTAAACACATTAACCAAAGCTAGTGCTTAGCTAGCGATTAGCGCTTAGCTAGCGATTAGCGTTAGCGCTCTTTTCAGTATCAATACAATGAAAGTTGAAGTTGTTCTCTTATTTTGCACAGACAGTGTTTACATTTGGAAAGCCATGTTACATTTATGTATGCATCCAGTGGGGCATCACAATAGAATTAGGCATAATGTGTTAATTCCACAATAGGAGAGATGTTATGTTGTTACTTTAACAGTTTTGGTGTAAAAAGCCTGTATATATCGGTATCGGGTGATATCGGTATCGGAAATTGAGAGTTGGACAATATCGGAATATCGGATATCGGCAGAAAAGCCAATATCGAGCATCCCTACAAATTACTTCAAAATCAAGGGCCAATAATTCATGCAGACATTCACGTATACCAGTCTAACCGAGCACAGCACTATACAAAAACCTGAATTAGATAGCCATAGGAATTTAAGCTCAAGCACTATTCAGGAATAAGGGGGAAAAACTTTGATGAAACTTTGCAAGATTAATATAGATCCAAACACATGACCTTTTTATATTATGACCCATTAATTCAATTAAATTATGCAAATTAGCAGATGTCTCATTAAATCTTTGCGCAGGAGCCAGGAAGGGTCAGAGGATTTTGTCAAAATATTGTTTAACAGTTTTATGTGCTGAAATCATTTAATTAACCATTTTGGTCTGTCTTACTGTACACTGTTGGATTTCTATATTTTACAGATGTGCACTTATTTATTCTATACTTTAACTGTCAGCTTATCAGTCTATTTAATTGTTCGCATAAAATGCCTCATACAATGAAAAGACATTTTTAAAAAGCCTCAATTTTTTCAAAGTTACCTGCTATTTCTTCAAGGAATCAAGTTATTGAGGGAAACTGAAAACTGAAAATTCAAGATATGTATAAGTTGGCAGCTGTGCCTATTACAAATCTGGAGATTTGTTCGTTTCTGGCCTTAGTGCACAACTTTTATTGTCATCAATAGTTACTATGACAAAACAAATCAACATATAATTGCTAATGAAGAAAATTGGCTTTCCAACTACGCTTATGCCAAATGTTGTAGATCGCATACATCACTCCAAAAAATCTGGGGCAGGGCTCAGATGTATAAAAATGGTATGTTGGTTGAATTTTGATTTGACGGGGGGGCACAAGGCTCAAACTCAGAGATTCCAGCAGGCTAAATCCAAACACTTTTACAAAGGTACTCTTTATTGAAGATTTAATGTTTTGATTTCTTCAAAGGGGATGTTTTGGTTTTTACAAGAGGGGCCACTAATGGTTGGTGTAGCAATGTGTTGTTAACTTCCCCACCTCCAATAAAGAGTAGTGCAGAGCGGCTTCACCCAGCTTTATAACAGCTGTATCTAGGACTGTCCTCCAGGTTGTGGGTGAGACTGTCCCAAAAGGGGCACCGCCACCAAACACCATTACAATGTGTTTTGATTGACTTGATTGACAATGTGAGAACTAGAAAGCAATTAATGGAAATATGTAAACTTACACTTTTCTGGCAGACATTCACAGCCTTATCATCAAGCAACCAAACGATAAATCCAACTCTGTCTTGCACAGTGGTAACACCAGTAAAGTAAAGACCTGGGGTCCTAGCTAGTACTGCGCAGGGGACAGAACATGGAAGTTCATGACCGGAAGGGCTTCACTCACTGCAAGTTAGCATCTTAATTAATCCAGTATGGGGGGACGTGTGTGGTGGTCGGTAGCTTGCATGTTAAGTGGGAACTTACAAACATTAATAAAAAAAAAAAACATTTAAAAATCCCATATACAGTTCAACACCGACAGAAAACACTGAATGTAGTCATGTCAGAGAAGATTTAGCCGCGTCGTTAGCTTAGCATGTGATACGTCCCAGCAGCACACTTGAACAAAAACACGAAAGTTATCCAAAAGTCCAAAAGTTATCTAAAAGTTATCTAAAAGTTATCTAAAAGCTTTCACCTACTGACAAACCCTCTTTCAACCAGAGTCCAGTACCAGACACTTAACTGACCTTACAGCTAAACAACAGCTAAAGTGCACCTTACTTGACAGTCCGGTGGGTATCGACCGTGCTCCAGTTCTCACTTGTCCAGTGTTTGCAGCAGCAGACTCCCACCCAGAGGACCCGGCCTCCCCTCTGACCCCTCTGACCCCTCTACCTCCGTCCCTGCCGCTTCTAGCAGCGTGGCTCACACGGCTCTTACGATTCATATCCCCATGTCTGGATTTCCTTGTACCCACAGTAGACTTTAGACGCGTTGGTGTCTGGCTCTTTGGACTCTTACTTGTGGCCATGGGCTCCTGACTCAACTTAATTTGACAAGACATTTTGGAGATTTTGCCCCTCGGTTTCACCCGGCGGCGGACCCCTGTCTGTTTAATCAATGCACCGACTGAAGCGGTGCAGAAGCACCAAGTAAACCTCAGTCTGAGGTTGCACAGCCTCCGGAGGCAATCCAACCTGCTGCTCCTGGTGTTAGCTTTGCTCGGTTGATACTTGCCTCTAGTGTTGGGACCCTCCTGTTTACACTCCTCACTAATACCCTCTTTGTGTGGTGCAACATTTGCCTCCTGCGTACCTTCGGGGGTGTTAGCGGTCGCATCGGTCACATTTTCAGGGCCCATTTGCTGTGTTAAATGAGTTAGTACGGGTTCATGGCTGCTAGGGACGGAGGCGGACACTGGTCCACAAACAGGGTGGTGTTCCTCTTGGTTTTGGGACTCAGCTGTAACGTTTCTCCGCCGCCGCGAAACTTTTACCCCATTCACGTCTTTTAACGCGACTCGGTTAAGTTTGACCCTGCTAGAAGATGGGAGCATGCTGACAATCAAAACACTGACTATGTAAGGTTGCTAAACATTACTTTCTTAAACTGCTTACTGTAAAGTGTAAACTTTCTATAACTAAACCTGCGTAACGGCGTCAACCCCAGCGCCCAACTCTCCCTGCGGCTCACATTTATTCACTACAAGTTCACATGTGAACTAGGGTGTGCCGTCCACTGACTGCGCATGCGCAATGTCTTTTACCTGTTTTATGCTCCTGTGAATATTTCTTCCTTAGCCAACCAGCACACATTAACCATGCAAACCAATGACTCAATGTTACGTTCCTCTGTTTGTTAAAGGTGTTTGTGGTATCTATGTTTAAAAGATTTACAGAATATAATGTTAAAATATTGTAGGTTATGTGTTCCCATTTCTCAATCTCTGGTTTAATCTGTTATTAGGGTGTTTACCACTAATCTCTCAAAAACAGTGAATGCAATGCAAAAAACATGAACAAAAATGGATACGTAACCCATAAAGACAACAGAAGCCGGAAACATGGAAAATACAACCACAGAGTGACAAGTGAAAATAAAAATGTATTTACAGGTGCAGGTATGGAATATTTAACTATATTACTGTACTGAAAAACTATATCTATACCATTACTATATATTGGTTTATTTTACATCAGGTTGATTCAATTTTGTGTCTGATTACTTTAATTCCTGGCATTTATGTTTATCACAGGTCTTCAAAGCTACACCTGAAGCTGTTATGATATGTACAATTGATAATAACTCTTTCAAGATCTGAAACTGAGTATTACACAAACTGGGAAGGGTCTATTAGTATTTTGCGTAGAAACACAGTTGAACAGAAAGTGTTGTTGGCACAAGAGTGATGCTGGGATTCACAGTTCTGCTGGAAAAAGGGAATAATTTTCTTTCCTGAAATAACTGGGAGTGGTCAGTCATGGATCTAGCAGCACTTAGAGTATAGTTTTGGTTTAAACATTAGAGGTACACACCCTTTTGTTCTATACGCTACTGTTGCCACACTGAGCACACATGCCAGTGTACACACTCGCATGCAGCAGAGGTCTAAAAATATGGTATATATATTGTGCATTCAAGTCATTTTCTGGTGAAGCATTGTCTTTACATATTTAATTCAAAACTGTGCCTAAAATGAGACACTAGAGTATTTTTATTCAGGGGCAAAACCTTTTCTTGTTCTTGACGCAGGGATGGGCTAATCAAGTACATGCACAGCTGTAGCCTATAGGTCCAGGGGCTTGTACAATATACTCTATGCAAAGGCAATTCAACATTAAGTTCAATTTTTGCAGAGAGACAGCATCATCTTTAACCTTAGTGTGCTCTCTTGCCTGTCCTATAATGAGCTTCACAGTAGACTCGTCTCACTTTTAGACATTAAAGTCAGTAACATGGGGGTAAGTGTTGAAATACAACATTAAGTAAGGAGGATAAGTATTTACATAGGGGAAATACAATTTCGGATTTTTAAAAACTTGTCCCACGTTCCTCACACTTCTTATAAAATGTGTGCTTCCTGTAAACCTGCGTGATTGGGTGTGTGTTTTAGCCAGCCTCACTGCATAGGATTATGCAATCACATTTTGTCTCTCATATTGGAAAAGACATCAGTTTGCACTGAAATTCGAGAGTGCTGAAATTTGAGATTTGTGCTGATAGAGCACATCATAGGGCAGGTGGATATATCACCTGCACAATCTCCCCCTAAATCCACTAGCTGTGAATCAAGCCATAAATGCCCAGTAATCTTTGTTTTACATCCAAGTAAATATTGGAAATGAACATATATAATGTATTTTTGGGACAATTTGAATATTTTAATGGAGACCCACCAAATCAAACAAATAAAGGCCCAACAATGGAGCCCTGTGGGATCTCATTGTCGATTGATTACAACAATTTTTTGTCAAATCTGTCAAGAACCAGTATTTGGTACTTTTTCATAATGTATTATTGGGAAGCAGTGATTCGAACACAATCTGTGATGGGTAATTAAACGCAGGGATTTTAAACATAATACAACAAATGCAAAATGACAATATTTTCAAAAAAATTACATCTTGAGAACTTTTTTAATATTTTCTGAGTCAAAAAGAATAATGCAGACATATTTTCAAAACGTGAATTTTATTTATTTGGGAACGTGTCATTATCCTTGTTGAATGCATTATATGGGTTGTGATATAGTTTTGAAAATGTATTTAGGATATCTTATGTCAGTTATACTTACAGTTTAAAATATATGCCGACTGAATCCTTCAGGTTCGAGGTCAAAGCCTGACAAGATGTGAGGGGTGAGGGTGAGACCCTGGTGTTGGGAAGTAGCCGGTCCCTGGATTGCGGCGGCCTGATTCACAACACCAGCTGTCCCGCCCCACCGAGCCAGCAGATGGCGCTCTGATGGTGGAAGCGGTTTTCCATTGAAAAAGCAGAGAAGTGGTTCCATCTCATTGCGTCCTCCCTGGGGGGTGCAGAGTCAGCTTTCCCTCTTTCCTAATCTTCGCTACATCTGTGACAGCTGTGAAAAGAGAACATGCAAATTAGAAACCAGTTGAGGTGAGGAGAGTGGTGCCAAGACATGAGGGAACTTTCTCTGGGTTCCTCTTTGAATGAATTCTCATCATAAATCCAGACATGAGGGATTCTGGGAGTCTCTGCCCCACCTCTCTACACCTGACAGGCATTAGACCACCCACAACCCCCTGCTTCAGCTCTGGTGCTTCAGCACTCCACAGCTCCAACAACATCCTCTATGCAAATTTTATAATCACACCACAGGAATGAGGGCTGTGTGTGTACGTACAGTGAAGAGGGATATAAGCTTTTACTTAGCATATGAAATGAGTTGGGATTAGAATGAGATAAAGAGCAGAGTGAAGAGCAGAGGGAGTGTTACAAGAGAGGTCACTCATAATTTTGCTTCTATGAAGCACTTTAAATCTTCCTGACTGCTCTCACAGGCATTGCAACAGCACACTGGGCTCAACTGAGTGATAAAAGAACACCAGCAGTTTCACCAATAATTGTGCACTTCAAATTAAAATGGTGTAGAATATCAGCATTATAAACGGACAGAGAGATCAGGAGCGTTTATTCACCGGAGAGGGAGAATCACCTATCAACCTTGTGAGCTTGGACCAGTGAGGTTCCAACAACCTACAGATTCCAACAAATCATTAAATGTTCTCATTTCATTTAGCTGATGCTCCATTCTGGAGCATGCAAGGGTTCAATGTCTTGTTCTGGGACAGACCAATAGGTAGAAGTCTGTTAATGGCTGCAGCTAAATATTATTTTAATTAGGGTTTTTTCTTTTGATTATTTTCTCAATTGAATGAATTAAATGTTTAGTCTATAAAATGTCAGAAAATTGAGAAAATATCACAAAAAGAATACTAAATCCTCAAATATGAGGAGCTAGAACTAAATAATGTTTGGCATTTTTGCTTGAAAAATTGCTGCCGATTAATTTTCTGTCAATTTCTGGACTAATTGATACAGCTCTACATTAAAGTGTGTTGTTTTTGTTATGTGCTGACCTCTTTAATCTACTAGGCCACCCTGACTGCCATGCTTTGGGTCCAAAAGACAGTCAACCTAGCAGTAGAAACTAAATGTCTCCTTCTAGAAACTAGAAACAGTATTATTTTAAAACACCAGGTAAATGTTTGATCAGTGCCTTCATCTGTTGAATGAGGAAAGCTAACTTCTATAACCTGAACGTTATGTTCAAAACAGCGTTCTTTTGGTGGTTGTTTGGTGAAAAGCTCAGACGGAGAAGTAAAAGACTTCAGATATCTGCTAAAAACTGCAGAATAGAAAGGAAGCACAGCCTATCATTACAGAGTTAAATGTTGACAGAGACACATGGGAGGTTAAGATAAAATGTAGCAATTCTCTTGGTAGGTGACGGGAAATGAATGTCAGTTTCCTTCATGTGTACATCTTACTACCAACTATAATGACAGAGAAATATGTGTTTAAGACATTGTCCTTTCCTTTGTTTGCTCCCCCTCTTTCTGTTTGGCATGCAAGGCACTGTAGGTGCACAGCAGTGGTTCTTCCTCTCACACTTGTCTCCTCATGTGTTGTTGTCCACTGAGAAATACCTCTCTAGAGAAAAAGTATGCTGTTTTTTTCTATTATGAATAATTTGAGACATTACAGTGGCCCCTTCTGCAGATAATTCAAGCATATGCACATCACCGTAAAAACAAAAATAAAAAAATCCACCATTGTGCAAGCAAGCTTTGGCTACATTGTACCATTCATATTTGCATATCTTTTAACAGAAACATATTTTACCAGTGTGCGTCCATTTTGGCAGGAAATGTGTGGGCATGCATGTCCATTCTATGTAAAAGGTTCTCAAATGTGTGCAGCACGTTCTCACTGATATGCCAAGATGCATTCACATGTTTATGTGTGTTGTTAAGTGCAATTAAGTCTGATTTATTTAATTGGCACTAGAGGAGAAAGAGGTGCTAAACAAATACAGAGGAGTGTCGGATAAAAAAAAACTATCATGGCTTTCATGGGTAGAGATTGTAAATTAGGAGTTAAAGCAAATCAAACAATTGTTAAATGTATAGTTCGCTTGTGCAACCCAAGTAACCCTTCATTTAGATTGTTACTGTTTGGGATTTGTTACCTTTTTGTAATATCAGCCTTAGTACCAGACATTAGATTGTTGGGGTAGAACTATAAGGATCTATAATTTCTTGCACACATCTTTTTCTTTGTCTTTCACTGGGCCGGTGTGAAGCTGACGGGAATGCGAGCAGCAGCTGAATTCCTTTAAATAGCCCTGCCTGCCTCATCATATGGTTGCTATGGCAGCCAGCCCCTCGTTTCAAGATATCGTCCACATGCTTCAAGAGACCTCCTCCACCTGAAAGCTATAGATCCGCGCCGCTGCTCGGCGGAAAAGAGATTTGCCGAAGCAATGCAGCCACTTAACGGCACGTATGAATAATGTTCAGTGTGAGAAATGATCAATATTTGAGCTATGCATTTGTGTGTGAGATCAATCCGCTGTCGTCGTAGCTTCTCTTAGTGGGCGATTTAAAAAAGAAGCACTTATTGGAACAAAACTGTTTGAAGGATATGAGGGAAGGAAGAAGAAAAAAAAATGTTAAGCAGGGAGAGAAGGAATATGATGGGTAATCTGATGTTGGAGAAGAACAAGATCAAAAGTGAAACAGATGAGTGAACAGCTGGTACAAGAAATGAGGTGATACAGAGAGAAATGAAGGGTGAAAGAGAGGATGACTGCTCTGTGACATTCTGGAGAAAACGAAAGGAATTGAAAGATATAGAGTATAATAGTAGATGCCATCTCTTTCTTTTCTTAATAAC